AAGAATAACCCTTTTTCTTTCTAGCTTTGACCGGGACCTATCATAATCCCATCCAATTGAACATGACTCATGTTTCAACCCGACAATTGAGTACTGCTGTTCACGTCTATGCTCAAATAATTAAAGGTGTCGATTCTTTTTAGGGCTAGGGGCGCAAATGGATCGAATTACGATCTAATTTGAATTCAAATCAATTCTTATTTTGCTGAGCTTGAATGTCCTATTATCGAATTTATAAATCAGATCAGATAAAAAACAAAGGATTTGCTTGATGAATATAGGATTATTGAATTAAATTTGTCTACTTGAATCTTTTTGCATCTTTACAGCTGATTTCCATTTCAAATCCAGCAGTGGTGCCGTAAAATTAGAATAAACACATTATAACCCAATGAGGTCATTAACCCAATCCATTTTAACGTTTGCACCTATCAAATTACTTACTCGACCCATATTGACACATTTAAGTGGGCATGATTCCAATTAATTAAGATTGAAGATAAGGCCTTTTAATACCATTTCCAACATAAACTGTGGGTGTAGATGGCCAATTTTTTCGCCATAGGGGTGGGGTGCTATATGCTAGACCAGTTAGTGGGATTACTAGATCAAGGTCAAGTATCGAAAGTTAGTTTAATTGGTCCAAAATGTGTTTTCAATCGTTTATTATCTTTGTCAAATTGATGAATTCATATGGGTCAAGGTCAAGCATTCAAAGATGGGAATTAATGCATTACTTGATTGACTTCTATAACCAAATGTATTCTCTTTATTTATATTATATAGGGTAAAAGGCTTAAACCTCTATGAAATCTCCCCCTTTTTTTTTAAATTGGACCAAGTCCTCCCTTGTCAAGGTTAAAAGTCTCTTTTATCCTTATTAACTCATCAAATTTTTAAAATAATGGAATCCTCTTGAACAACACATTCAAACAAGATAAAAGAGAAACGTGTGCCCAATATTCATTACATGATAGTGAATGAACCCCACTTCAAATGGATTAAAATCTTGGAGAAAAGATTCCCACATAAATCCAAAATCAAACAATTTGCAAGGTTATTAAATTTCTCTAAATTTCCGATATGTCATTGCTTCTCCTAAGATCTCATCTTCTTTCATTGCGCATCATCGCATTTTTAATGATCTTCTCTCCCCCCCCCCCCCCTCCCCAAAACATCCCTACCCTCACCCTATCACAACTTTTCAGGCATGCTTTTTTTTTGGATTTTTATTTTGATAACAAATTGCTATCATTCTAAAAAAAGAGGAGAATGGCTGTTCAGCACACTTTAAGAATTCTTAACCCCACCATATAGTTGGGGTAGGTATCAGCTCAGAATTGATGCCAATACACGGATAGATATTTGGTAGGATGAGGGTATTTGTCATTTTAAATTGTATAGTATTGTAGTGGAATTCAGAATTCTGCAGTGTGGTACATGTACATTTGGTTCTGGCTGCAAGTCATAATCGTGAAAACATATTGATTGGAGTGGGCATGTGTTTATTCAGATATCTCTCTTATTTAGTGCCAGATATCTTTGTTTTTTGGATACCGTCATTAGTCATGACCAAAGGATCATAAAGGGGCGAAGTCAGGTTTTAAGAAAATTTAATGTCACTATTTATATGGATCTTGATTAGGGTTGTCAACAATTTGGGTCTAGTTTGGGATAGGGTACAAACTGATACTGCTCGATTCGATGTGGTTTTTGAACTGGAGTCGCAGTCAAATAATCCTGTCAACTGGGCGGAGCCGAGGTGGAAAGACGAAACTGCACTTCAAGATCTGAAAACCAAGAAAGTGATCAGAGGCCCAAGGAGTTATCCTCGGGTAGATACTCTGACACTCAAGTTAGTCAAGGAAGATGGGTGGTTGGGCCGAGCAGTTAGAGAACGGTGTTGGTTCGAGCAAAATAACAGTACGAAAGTCAAAAGTTGGATACCTTACCATGAGCGGGAGGTACCTTTTTATAGCCGAAGGTTAGTATCCTGATCGGGCGAGGCTTCCGAGGTTGTCGGGATGAGGTTGCACGCCGAGGTCTTTGGGATAAGACCTAATCCCCAGTGGAATTATCCTCATCCATACAATGCTCTCCTGTCTTGGTCATGCATATCTACGTGATGTAGGTATCAATGTGGCTGAATAACTTATCCACATGATATAATGTTGACAAGGCCAAGGTGATAAGGTGGCCCCAAAGGTATCAGGTGGCATCCTGAGCCAGCTCAACCACAACTCGTACAGAACCGTTCCAAACTGACTATTGAAACCGATAATGCGGGAACCAAATCAGACCCGATTGGTTGTCTACTCGATTAGGCCCAATTAAATAAAAAAAAAGTCATACTTACCAAAAACAAAGAATGGGCATCTCTCTCACGTCAACATACCAAACCCCATCTATTCTTTACAATAAAAAAAAAGGAGAAAAAAAACAAAAATTAAAAGATAAGATGTAGACTTCACCTTCCTTTTCCGAACAAAGTGATGATTTGAGGATCAAAAGTAACATCGAACAAGTGAACGCCGGTCGTTGAACGGTGATTTCTGAGAAAGACTTTCTCAGAATGAAAAGAACAAAAATAACACTGAACAAGTGAACTGTGAACACAAAATGAAAAGAATAAAAGTAACAAATAGAGGGTTTGGGGTTGGGGGTGAACTGTGAACACCAAACATGTAATTTCTGTGGAACTTTCTCAGAGAAAGTGAGAAAGTGACAAACAGAATGATAAAAGGATTTGGGAGTTTTAGGTTTTAAACCAAAAAATTTCGATTTTAGACATGTAAAACTTTTAAATTACCTATATATATGAAATACCAAATTAAAGTTTAAAACTGTGAAGTATATATATATAATACTAAAATATAAATATAATAGTAAATAGGTATAATCAGTTCAGGTCTAATCGGTTTGAGACAGCCAAAATCGGTCTCGAACCAATAATTATCGGGACACAAAAATTAAAACTAGAACTAACCTACCTGTTACTCTGTTAGTTCAAATCACGGGATCAGAACCGTTATAAATGGCTCGGATGGTTCCGGTCTATAAGGTAGACCTGACCTATTGACAATCTTAATTTTGATAGATTATTAAAGAGGGGAGGTCTTTGTTTGATTACATCAGCCGTTAAGGGTGATTTTTATCCAATTTGAAAAATGAGAGGATGTTTTTGTATTTTACAACAAATTTGAAGGTCTTTTACCCTTATCTATACGAAGGATTATGTCTTCATATGAATGTGAGAAGTACTATGCACGGTTTTCAAAACTGGACTGGACTGGATGGTCGGACCGGAAAAACCGAAAACCAGTCGGGTGACTGGTTCTGTTTTTCTCCAAAATCAAATTTTTGCTAAAAATTGTTGATTATGGTCGACAAACTGTTGACCCGATGATTAACCTTTTGAATTATTTGATGGTTTTGACCATTTTTTTATTTTTTTATTTTTTTGTTAGAATGAACTGACTGTTCAATTCAAATGATCAGACCATTCGACCCAAGAACTAGACCCTGATCGATTCGTTGTCCAAATCAGTTTTAAAATCCTTGGTACTTTGTAAGTTTTAGGTTGAGAAGAGCCCGTCCGACCCATTGACATATAATGGCATTGAACGTTTGTACATATAACCTTGTTTCAGCATAGAAGTCCTATTTATTTATGGAATAGGATCGGGTTTAAGAATCCATTTCCTTTACATGGGTTGGGATCGGAGTGGCTTTTGGGTTGTGTTCGGGTTGAACCAACCTTTTCACATCCCCTACCTAGGTTTCTGACCTGGAATTAATCGGCCTTATTGGATCTGACCTGATGTAAGACCCATTGCAACCGACAATGCTTTAACCGGGTAACTCGATCATAAATATGCTATTTATCTAGCTTTTCTTTATAAAAGCTTTAGACATCATTTATGGAGCTAATACAATTAAACCATGGGAAACATGAACAAAAATTTTTAGGGCATCTTTGTCATGTGATAAAATAATAAATATATAATTGTTTCGGATCTTAATCGGGTCAAGGAGAAAAACCATCATTTATTGAGTTAAAACCTACCATATTAATTAAACTAACCCTAATTAAAAAGGGATTGAAAATCAAATCTGAAAGGAAAGATTCATCCACATGAAAAGTATATCCCTCATTATACATATGCCTCGTTCTTTATGCCTACTTTTGGTGGAAGATATTAATATTTTGGGTGGGTAACTAAACAACTTATCCACCCCCCGAAAAGTATCGGTTATTTGCAAAAACCGATTTTCTCTAAAAAATAATCTTTTTGTGAACCGGTATTTGAATGTGGGAAAATTTGTCAATTATCCGATTGACCAACTTACCCCACCAAATACCAATAAAAGAATGGGGCTATAGATATAATGGAATTTAGCATTGAATCAATATTTTTATTTGTATGTATCGATACATTGTGATGTAGGCGCGCATGGCCTGAACCAATTGCATAGACATGTATGGCGGATTTTGGGGTTTAGGGTCCACCTACCTTCAGCGGCCTCAACCATAAATAGGGGGTAACCCTCTCAAGATAAACATCTAGACTCTAAACTACTAAGAACCCTACAGCTTTTCGTGTGACCTTGTCTGAGCACTCCTTACTCAGACCTCGTCCACTTTTTGACGTCCTCTCTTTCTCTCTCTCTCCTCACAGGTCCGACCTACTGGCCTCCACAAGATCTGAATGGTCATTAGTAGGTCAACTTAAGCTGAAACTTGTTCATTATAAATTTCATTTGTGGGACCTAGAATAAGTGTGAGGCCACAAAAAGGGAAATATTAGTGCAAGTTCACATTGGATGAAATCAACGCATGAAGGTTTGAAATATTTTCAAGTTGAGTACAATCAGAAGAATAGTCAAAAGTGCAAGAGAGTAGTATCACTTGCCAATCTTTCTACCTTCTTTTCCACGGATCTTTCTTATTTAAGTAGAGTGGAACAACTCTGAAATTGCAAACCATTTCCATTTCAGCCATGAGAGAAGCATCATTTGTTCTCTGCCTTCTAATTCTATCTCTTGTTTCCCTTGAAACTGCCGCACAGAAAGAAGCAGAAGCTTTGCTGAAATGGAAAAACAGTTTAACTTATTCTCATTCTCTCACCTCATGGTCCCTAACCAATGGCAGGAATCCTTGCAACTGGATTGGAATTCAATGCAACAAAGTTGGGAGCATTGTCAACATAAACCTTGCCAACTCTAGTCTCAGTGGCACTTTGGACCAGTTCAACTTCTCTGCATTCCCCAATCTTACCTCTCTCAACCTCAACCTCAACGATCTTGTTGGCTCAATCCCAAAGCAAATTGGATCACTTGCAAAGCTCACATTTCTTGATCTGGGTAGCAACAATTTCACACATGCACTTCCATCGGAGATTGGGAATCTCTCAGAGCTAAGGGTGCTTCGCCTCTACAACAATTCACTCATGGGTCCAATTCCTTATCAGCTTAGCAATTTACAAAAGGTATGGCAACTCCATCTTGGTGGAAACTTCCTAGAGAATCCAGATCCTGTTCAGTTTAAGAGCATCGTATCATTAACTGAACTGAGGCTCGATACCAACAATCTTATCCTAGATGTTCCCCCATTTATTTTTGAATGTTCGGAGCTCATTTTTCTGGACTTGTCAAGTAATCAATTCACTGGTTCGATTCCTGTGCAACTCATGAGTCTTAAGAATCTTGAATTCCTGAACCTGACTAAAAATGCATTTGAAGGGCCGATTCCAGCAGAAATCAAGAACCTTAAACACCTTCAAGAATTGAATCTAGGACTAAACAAGCTGAATGGTACAATACCAAATGAGCTTGGCTATTGCACCAACCTTACTTTCATTGATTTCTCAGAAAACAACCTTAGAGGTACCTTGCCTCTTTCAATGACCTCCTTAACCAGAATTACAGAGCTCGGAATATCCAGCAACATGTTATCAGGTGAACTCCATCCATATTTCCTAACCAATTGGACAGAACTCGTATCTTTTCAAATCCATAATAACTGCTTCAGTGGAGTAATCCCTTCTCAAATTGGATCACTCCGTAAGCTAAATTTCTTGTCCATGTTCAGTAACAGATTTTCAGGCACCCTTCCTTGGGAAATTGGGAACTTGTTGAATTTGAGCAATCTTTTTTTGTCTGGCAACTTTTTTACTGGCCCAATTCCTTCCAGCATAGGAAACTTATCTCAGCTTGTCAACATAAGTCTCTCCAAGAACCAGTTCACTGGAACCCTTCCCCATGAAATAGGCAAGTTGGAAAGTCTACAGCTTCTTGATCTGAGTGCAAACCAGCTGCAAGGAAACTTGCCTCCCACCATAACCCGTTTGAAGAACCTGGTTTACTTCTATGTTCATTCTAACAACTTCTCTGGTAGTATATCTGAAGATTTTGGACCCATATCTCTAAGGAATGTGAGCTTCTCTTACAATAATTTCACAGGCAAGCTCCCTCCTCAAATTTGTAGAGGAGGGCAGCTTAAATACTTCACAGCTAGTGCAAACAGATTTGTTGGATCCATCCCCCAATGCCTTAACAACTGTACTGGCTTAACTAGAGTCCGTCTTGAGCATAACCTTCTTGATGGATCCATAAATGATATATTTGGTGTTTATCCAGAGCTCACATATATTGATTTGGGTGATAACCGATTGTCTGGCGTCTTATCAAACAATTGGGTAGAGTGTTCTAGTCTCTGGTTCTTCCGTGTGTCTGGTAACATGATATCAGGTCAAATCCCAGGAGAGATTGGAAGGTTGAAATATTTGCAAGAGCTTCATCTCTCTTCAAATCAACTAGAAGGAAACATTCCTGTGGAACTTTTTAGTTCGGCTTCATTTCTATACAAACTGAACTTGAGTAACAATCAGTTTTCTGGGAAGATACCAGCAGAGATAGAAAGGCTGTCAGTTCTACAAATTCTGGATTTGTCACAGAACAACTTAAGTGGGCCAATCCCAGAGGAACTTGGAAATTGTCAAAAATTAATATCTCTAAAACTCGGTGTTAACAAGTTGAATGGGACGATTCCACTCCGGCTTGGGAAGCTAGTAACCTTACAATCTATGCTTGACCTCAGCCAGAATTTACTCACTGGAGAGATACCACCACAGCTTGGAAGCCTAACATCTTTAGAAAATCTCAATCTTTCTAATAATAGGCTTTCTGGTTCCATACCTTCAGCCCTGCAAGATTTGAGGAGTCTTCAATTTGTTGATATATCAAATAACAATCTTGAGGGTCCACTTCCCAACATTAAGGCCTTTCAAAATGCTCCTCCCAAGGCATTGGCAGGTAATTCTGGTTTATGCGGCACAAAAGCACAAGGTTTGCCACCTTGTAGTAGTAGTAATACTTCTACAAACAAGAACAAAAGCAGTGGACAGAAGAAACTGATATTGTCGATAACCATACCTCTCGCTGTAGTTATCATAATTCTGTTGATTTTATTTGGAATTTTCATCCGCCATTATACATCCAAGGACAAATATGATGATGATGAAGAAGAAGAAGGCCTTGGTTTAGTGGGAAAAAAATCATTTTCAGTATGGAACTACGATGGGAAATTGGCTTTCAAGGATATAGTAATGGCCACTGAAAATTTCAATGAGACATACTGTATAGGGAAGGGAGGACAAGGAAGTGTATATAAAGTAAAGCTTCCCAGTGGAGATGTTGTTGCCGTAAAGCGTCTGCATTCATCCGTATCTGATGAAAATACATCTCAAGGTGATGACTGGAAAAAGAATTTTGAGTCTGAAATACGAGCTCTAACAGAAATTCGACATCGAAACATTATAAAGATGCATGGATTCTGCTTAAACAAGGGGTTTATGTTTATAGTGTACGAGTACCTGGAGAGGGGAAGCTTGGGCAGTTTCCTAAATGATGAGAAAGAAGCAAGGCTCTTGGACTGGGAGAAGAGGGTGAATGTTATTAAAGGGTTGGCTCATGCTTTGTCCTACTTGCACCATGACTGCTTGCCACCCATTGTGCACCGGGATGTATCAGGGAATAACATTTTATTGGGTTCAGAGTTTGAGCCCAAGCTCTCTGATTTTGGGACGGCGAGGATGCTCAGAGCCGGGGAGTCTAACTGGACTGTACCAGCTGGTTCATATGGCTACATTGCTCCAGGTAAATTTGTCTTTTGTAAATTCATGGTCCCTTCTTTTTTTTCTTTTCTTTTTATGATTTTGAGTAGGGGAAACATTACTATTGACCAAGATATCTATGTTTTTTAAATTTATTTTTCAAGGGTATCAAATACACATATGTGGATAAGTAACTTTTTCCAACTGGGAAAGTCCCAACAATTGGATAAGACAAAATTACCCCTTTTAATAATGATTTTTTTTATTATTAAAACCATAATTTTTATATTTACTAGAAAATAAAAGAATATAGGTAAATGCACTTATCTAAATAAATATTTCCGATAAACATTTTCCTGGATAAATAACTTCCCAAAGGGCAAACGGGGCCTTAATCTAATCCATCGTATATACTAATTTGGCTTGCTTTTGCTTGATCTTTCTTCTCCTTCTTATATAGAGCTGTAAAGGGATCAGATGTAAATTAACTGTATATCTGAATTTGATTTGTCTATGTTTGGGTTTGAATAAATTTCATGAAACTAGAACTAATAAATTAAGTATATCGTCCATTTGATGATTTGCAGCAGGCCTACTTCTTCGTCTTCTTTAGTTTCTTTCATTGTATTGTATCTTATGAATGCAGAAGTCGCTACTACAATGAAGGTGAGAGAGAAGTGCGACGTGTACAGTTTTGGAGTGGTGGCCTTAGAAGTAATCATGGGAAAGCACCCAGGAGAACTCCTTTCATGCATACAATTAGATGAAAGATACGACCTCAACTTTGCAAGTGCATTAATAGACCAGCGACTACCACCTCCAGTTGGTATTACGATTGTGCATGAATTGATATTGGCGGTGGCCATTGCCTTGACGTGCATACATGTAAATCCTGATACTCGACCCACAATACTTGAGGTGTCCCGCCGGTTGTCGGCCAATCTGAGTCCGTCCTATTCCGAGCCTCTTCATATGCTCACACTACAGCATTTGAAACATCTTGCGCGAGGAATAATTCACTAAAACAAATAGACCATATACTAAAGCCTGGCAACCAGAGCATGGAGTTGTCATAGGAAGGAATTTCAGAGCGTTGTATTAGAAAAGTTTTGAGGTTTCTGCAGAAAAAAAAAAAAAAAAAAAGTTTTGACTTTTGAGGTTTGATGTGTCTTTAATATTGTATGTGTAATTTTATCAGATTCTTTAGTGTTTGATTGTAAACTTTGACAGAAAAATGGAAAATGGGGACATGGCTGGATTGGGCATTTATGATACTTGTTGGGTGTGAGAATATTAAGGATATGGATTGAATTTGTTATGTTAAGATAGAGTTTGAGATATATTGAAATAGACTAAATAGAGCCTAAGAGTTTGAGTTTGAATTTAAATAGGTTTGGTCTGTTTTAGTCTATAAATATGATGTAATTACTATATTCAAATAATGCAGTGCAATATTTTATTAGCCTTCTCTGAAATCTAACATGGTATCAGAGCCAAAGGTCTGAACCTAGAGCCCTCCCACTGTGCTTCCCGTGTTTTTGGCGGGTGGCCGGAATCCTAGCCACCTGCTGGGTCCGCTGTCTCTATTTACCTATTAGATTTCCCATTTAGTCACTTGTTTCTCTTCACCAATTTAGCCACTTGCTAGGTTTGCTCTCTCCGTTTACTTGTTATGTTTCCCATTCAATCACTTTTTTTTTAGTTTCCTTTGTTCCTAATATTATTGCTATTTTTATTATTCTAGTTTTATTTTTAGTTTTACTTTCAGTTTCTCCCATCTTCTATTTATTGGCTTCCAGAGATCATATTCCAAGCCCCTATACCAATATAACTTTGGATCCTATTGGTTCAAACACCTTCTGCATCTGACATTACCCTCATCGACTTCTTATTGTTCGGATCTTCATTCATATATATCATCCTCAGAAATAGATGTACCCCTTCCCGCCTTTTCTTACCCTGTTGCTTCATTGATGATTCGTCCTCGTGTATATTCCTCTCATCTGCCCTCTTGTTGGACTTCTTGCTACACAACTTATCTTCTTTACCTCGCTCTTTTCTCTCTTCTACTTGTCTCCCTCTCTATTTCTATTYGTATATGGCCATTGTTGGCCCATTTTAGATAGGCTCCAAAAGCAAGCCTATTGAGGCATCTTAGTTGACCCAATAAGGTCTATTGGTGGTCTAACTTCAATCTGGCCCTATTGGCCCAATTTCATTCCAGTACAAACCCATAAAGGCTCTTTTCTTTTTGAAGAAGCTACAGGTTATTGTCATTATGATATGTGATTGTCAAAACTAGGCATCCATTACTTGCCACACCATCTTTATAGCTGAACCGCTTGCCACACTATCATCAACACAACTTCAAGTTTTGGATATATGTACATCATCACCTCCTTACCACATCATACCGTAGTTGGGAGATGTGAACACATCACCATCATTGCAGCAAGGTTAAAGTAATGTCATATTTTTAAACATCCTTTGAATCACATCAGGACTTGAAGGGTTGGAAGCTATCATCATCAACTTATAATTGTTTTTTTGTCAAACACATGATGATCATTGATCCCCATGTGTTTGAGGGGGCATATTAAGGATATAGATTGAGTTTGTTATGTTATGGTAGAGTTTGAAATGGATTGAGATAGACTGCATAGAGTCTAAGAGTTTGAATTTGAGTTTAAATAGGTTTGGTCCATTTTAGTCTATAAATATGATGTAATTACTATATTCAAGTAATGCAATGCAATGTTTTATTGGTCTTCTCTGAGATCTAATAGAGAGAATCTGTAATATGGTAGTCATGAGTAAGACCTACCATCTCATTCAAGAGTTAAATTTACTTTAACCCAAAGACCTTCACTCTTCCTCTACTTTACTACAACAAGATGTTCAGGTAAACCCCACCATGTAGTAGTTTCATTGCTTCATCAGATCCATTTTGGAAGTTTTACCTTTAGTGTTTATTTTCCAAGTTTAGTTCCCAAACAACAAGATTAAAATAAATTTATGAAAACACTTATTTTTAAATTCCATGACAATAAAATATTTTCTGAATCAAAATATTAATCAAGAAAATAAATTGATGCCAAATGTGATTCTATTTTTTGAGAAACAAGAATCGGGATAACTATGCCAAAAAGACTGGTGATTCTCAAGATAAAAATTCTCTTTTATGAAAGGATTTTGAGAATGAAAACCTCTAGAATTGATGTAAACAGGGCCTAAAAATTACAATTAATGCAAGAAAAATATATATATGCTACTTACACTCTACATATTTGTATTTGTATTCCTTCCAAAACTGAGCCTTATGCTTTATTTAGCAAGACAAATCAATGAAAATCTTAGGGAGAAAAAGAAACATAGGTCTTTTGAGAGGTTAGTGGGTCCCTAGAGTAGCAAGTGGGCAATATAAAGTAAGAATTATAAATCGGGTCGTGCATGGGGTTATGGGTTGTGTCGAGTTTGGATTTTCAGGTCCACATGCATACACAACAAGGTGCATATATATATATATATATATATTCAATTTTATTATACTATTTTTTTGAATTGTGTTGTAAATTTTTGAACTTCATTTTATTATTTCATATATAAACAATTGTATACATCAAAGTTCTTATAAAATAAAATTTTAAGATTTTTTTAATTTTTGTCTATTTTGTTAATTTATTTTTCATTTTTTACTTTTTTAAATATACCTCTCATGGCCTAGCTCGATCCACGACATGAAATGGCCTAGCCTGGCCCGACCTAAGTCTGCCTGGGCCCATGCCATGGGCCATTTTGGGCCTGACTTTTAAGTATCCTAGAGGAAGCAAGTTTTTCAAAACATTAATGATTTTGTCAAATTAGTAAACTTTGTTATTTATTTGTAAAAAATTATACTATTATAAATGTGTCCAAATGTTTTTTACAAAATTTCTATACTTTGCCATATTTTTGTAGAAATTTTGTGCTTCAACAAGTCGACGTTTATGTTTCTAATATTATAAACAATGTTCTTGTGATCAATTTTGCCCTTTACTGTTCTTTAAATTTTCAAAATAAAATTCATTGACAATTCTCTATTATCATTGTTTCAAAATAAGACCCGTTCAAATAATTTTGCTTATTGACATTTTTTTAGTGGTGGAAATTATAACCATGGTCAACGCTTACCTTCCATGGTTGTGTTACCATTAATTGATGCCATAAAGGATTCTGACATATTCTTTTCTATGCACTCGGAGATCTAGATCAATATTTCTATACCACTAGTAAGTGTGCATGTGTTTTGCACATGGTAATTCTAGATGATGATAATGATAGTAATAATGTATCCAAATTTTCTACAAATTCTATATACTTTTTTTATTTTTTTATATTTTTTGTTTTTATTATTAATTGGATGCGATTTGCAAATCCAAATCTGATTACATAAACATCTCATCCAAATATGTGATAACCGGATTGATTTGTAAAGTTTTTAGTATCATTGATATGCTTACTTGCTTGGCTAGATTTTCAACCTTACCATTAGTGATGGACTAAATACACAATTATGGGCATTTTAGTAGCAGTTAAAACATGCATTAAAGATGTAATAAAATAACTTTTATACCCTTTCTCAAACAAAGAAGTATAGAGTAATCTTTCACATTGCATTCACACTTTTATATATAGTATAGATATTTAACGGAAGTTTTCAAACTTAATTGAAAGAAACCCAGTTAGGGTTAGGAAAATCTAATACTGTGCCTTTTTTGAGGACTGGGCGTTAAAGCTTTTCAATTAAGGCCTAGCTTGGACAGCTTCCAAAATATCTTTAGATTTAAAGCACCTCCAGGGTGCCAATTTCTGTAGTGTAATTCAGAGAGTGGGTTGTGCAAGTTCTAAAGTTGTAATTTGTGTTATAAATTGTCATCCACTGATGCAGGTTTGAATAGTCTTTTGGAAAAAACAAACAAAGCTCATCTCTGTGGTCATTGTGTCCTTACATTCCTTCCTTTCCAACCAACATGAAAATCCCATCTCAACTACTAAACCTATTTAGGAATTCCAACAAAATGTCAAATGTTTTATTTTGAAAATTTAAAGAAGAATGATGACTAAAATAGTCTTTTTCATCATTTCTCTAATAGAAGTTAATGGAAGGGAGGATTTAGTCAATTGTCAGAAAATGTAGGGGTACTTTAAGATAATATGTAAACAGTAGAGTTGGTTAATTTCTTAGAGTGCTTTAAGAAATTTGTTAGTTTTGTCTAATATGATTAATAAATAATATTAAAGATGTCTCCAATCTTTTATATTTATTTGTATTTTGTAATTCGTTAACTTTTTATTTTTAAAAATTTATTTCACTATGACATCATGGGTTGACTAATTTAACCCAAATGGTTGAACTATAAGCATTCCACCCAAATGGGAAAATGGATTCATTTCTGGGCCAACATTAAATTTTTTTATTTGATTTTCCAACATTAATAAGAATGCTTATCTATAATCCATAAAACAGATATTTGCCTTGAGTTCCATGTAGGTCATAAAAGTTGAATTGAAATACCACACGTTTATATGGTTAATACTTACTTGCTCAGACATGAATAACACATGCTTTTACACTAGTTCTTTATAGTACTTATCTTTATTTAACATGATGAATATATAATATTAAAGATGTGCCCAATTTTTTTTTTACATTTTTTTATAATTTTATCTATTTTATAATTTTTATTATTTAATAATAAAATCATGGATTAACTTATTTGACCAAAATGGCTGTTCAATTGCTTGTGACCACTTGGACAGAAAAAAAAAAAAAAACTTTGCTTCTAGGTTAGTTTTGAAATATAGATTTTTATACTATTAAAATCATGATGTATGAATTTAACTAATTGAATTTAATAATGAGAAACAAAAATACCATAAATATGGGACTTCATAAGAGGGAATAGAATGGACTAAAAAAGTAGTATTCATATTATGTTATCTACCACAACAATCGTGAATGATTCAAAAACAAGGGTATTTTA